CCCGGTGGTGCATTGCTACAGTGCGCCGCTTGGGAGCATGGCGGTGCTCCCGCCAAGGGTTCGGATCCCACATACAGACTGGTTCCTGCTCACTGGCTGAGTGAGGGGCGGGCACAGCACCAAGGGTTGCGATCCCGTTGCCGGTCCCGGTCCGGTACGGGCGCAACACTGAGGGTTGCGATCCGTTGCCGGACACGAAAAAAGACAAAAAAAGGAAAAAAAAAATGGTGGAACCCCAAATAATGTTGCACATCAACAGACAGACACTGCCTATTTATATTTTGTAAATTTAAGTTATATTTAAAGTGGGGCTTATGCCTGTGCTGGCCAGCCACCAAAACATAAAAAATAAAAATAAATAATATAGGGCTTATGAAACTGTAATATAAGTCTTTTGTAAATTAGATATAATTATACGAGAAACTGAGTCAACATAAGGAAATAATATTATGCTATAATGTCTATAGAAAGCTATGAAATTGACCTGTATGATTAAGTATATGAGTGAATCTGGGTAACTTTGGGAAAAGAACCCATCTATGGTTGTGGAAAAGACCTGTATCTTTTCAACAGTGCCCTCTTATAAGTCTAGAATTTTTGACTCTGAGGAAGAGTTTTAGTGGCAAACTCTCTTAGCCTTGGGAAAATGAAGAATATTCTTTTTTTTTTTCCTCAGAGGAATTTGGTTTCATTAGTGAAATCATTAAAACATTTTAGAAACAGTTTGTTTCCATACTGCATGAATGATTCAAGAGTATTTTGGGAAATGGAATTACTCATTTTATGAAGCTAATTTAACGCAGATTTCCATTGTGATATAATCTCAGCTTGCTCATCTGTAAAGTGGGGCAGCAATATTACCAATGTTGTAGTTATTGAGAGGATTAAACAACTCTTGTGAAGTGCTTCAATAATGAATGACACATGGTAAATAATACATATGTTACTATTTTTACTATCATACCACAAGAAAACAATAGACTAACTGCAATTTTAAATAAAATTTCAGTTATAAGGGAATATTTTTCTGATCTTGTACATTTTATTATTAAAAGTCACTGTCAAATTGTTTAATTTCTTTCAATATTAATAAAATTCTCTGAACTATGACATATTTTACAGTGTTTTGATTTTTCCTTATCCCTTCAGGCCAATTTCCTTCATTTTTAATTATCCAATTTTATTTACTTGAGTAAAGAGAACCTTGGTACATATAATGTCATCCACAGTCCTGTAGCTTGTAAGAAATGCAAACTCTTAGGCACAAACCAGCCTACTGACTTAGTTTCTTCAGTTTAATAACAACCCCAGGTGTTTCTTATGTAGGTTAAACTGTGATAAACGTGAAAATAGACTTCCTCAATTTGTCTGTACATCAGAATGTGAGCTTTAAAAACTGATAATGACTGGGTCCTACCCCCAGAGATACTAATTGATTAAGTCTTGTGTGAGGCTTGGATATAGTGATTGTTAAACACACTCTAGTTAATTCTAAAGTTTTAAGAAACACTGCAGGGAGGGGCAAAGACAATACTTCACTAACCTACCTTCTCTGCTTTTCAACTTGAGAGGAAAATGGGAAAAGCAGGT